TTCATAAGTCTCTTTACAGCTCCAGCTTCTCAAGAGCATGGAACGGCTTCAACTTGTCCAGTTAAGCAAATAATGAGTTCACTTAAATAATTGATGGGCTCAGGTGGAAAGAAAACCAGATCCATTTTTCCCTTTAGAACTAGAGTTGCACGCTCCTGCCTTATTGAAAGACATCTGAAAAGGGTCTTCCCTGTTCTGAGAACCGGCAGCTTTTGAAGAATTCACTGATTACCTCATAAGCAGTTTCTTTTGCCAGCTCTGCCTATTGTCATGCTGTCAGGCACAGAGATTGTGAGACAGAAGGGGTCTTCCTTTCCTGGCACATGCTGGTTAATGCTGAACCCGCTACGGATATCAATAGAAAGTCAGTCGTGCACTCCCAGCGCTTACTCTGTTGGGCACTTCCTTTGTCATTTTTGTGCAAATAGGGTCTGGTGTCTTTGTGAGTGTGTGGCAGCTGACTGGCATAGTCGACACACACTTGTGCCCCCAGCCCCTTACCCCTAAAGACTCATTCCACTTCATAACCCTGATCTTTCACATTCAGTGTTAAATGCTTCTCAGCTCAGCAACCACTGTTGTCTTCTGCTGAACACTGTTTTTCCTTTATCCATACAAGAGCTTATGTGATATGAAACAATGGAGACCCATGCAGAAAAGCCTGTTGGTGGGGGGGGGAGGCTGCCCAGTTCTTTGATTCAGAGAAGCAGAGTCAGCAAATAATTAGATGGCAGCGTGTAACTGTGGTTAGGCTCTGGATGTGTAACTGGAAGGTTAAGAGCTTAGATCTCAAGCAGGGCATTGTTGTTGTACCCTTGGGCAATATACTTCACACTGATTGCTCTGTGCAAAATATATACACATTCAAATAGCCCCAGATAAAAGTATTATAAGTCACAAACATTAATATCAACGAGTTATCAATAGGAATATCCAGGAGCCCATCTGTCCTAAACCAGGCAAGGTTTGAATCTCAGGTGGGACACTTTCCTTTTGAGCAAAGTACCTTATACCTACATTGCTCCAGCAAAACCTACTGTGCAAACATGTACCAAATGTGTATTAAAATAGGTTTTTGAACCATGTAAGCTGCTTTGGCTATATGCATCACCTAAGTAAACATTTAATAAGAATGAATAATTGTATGTCTTCCTGTGAGCTGCATACTGATTTCTTATGATCTCCTCCATTGCCTTGTGAGCTTTGTAGCGCAGTAATTACCTGAACAGCTTTTGGCACTTTGGCCATTTATTCAACAGTAAACCTGAAGAAGGGGGTGTCTGTGTTCCAGAGCCGGAAAATGAGAGGAGCAAACAAGTCTGCTGATAAAAATAAAACACCGAACCAAATGAGTTGGAGGGGGGAGGGGGAAAGGGAGAGAAAGGTGGCTGCAAATGAATGAGATCCCATTTCCCAAAAAGCTTGTTTCTCTTAGGAATTGCCCAGAACAGGCAGCCAGCTCTGCAACCTGGTAGCAATTGACCAGGGTCCACAAGACATCATTCACAGAAAAATTAACATACTTCATAAAGTATTCCTTGTGCTAAGAGCCTGGTGACTGAGACCGGTCAAGGGGTAACAGGACAGGAAAAAAATAACACCATCAGGGGGATCTATCTGCAAAGTTTTTTAAGTAGATTGTGTAGCATGCACTCCTTGATTGCTTCATTAATTCATGTATTCAGGAGAAAGTTACACAATCAATGAGTTTCCTTCAACTTTACACCCTCCACTCTGCAATCCTTTTAGCATATTCTCTGCTTTATTGAGTTATGGTTAAAGTTGACAGCAATTATACCCACTGTGCATTAATTATAGTAATAAATAGTAATTAAGTAATTAGGGAGCAATTAAGTTTACAAGGTACTGCAGTCAGTTTGAAAGTCAAACACATATGTATCATCTGCAGCAACACACTGCACTTCTAAATCATTCAGTTTTAGCAAGCATGTTTATGTTGCTCAACTTTTTGTGTTAACATATTTAATAAATAATTTTAACTGGAGAGTTGCAATGTTTATGGTTGGGTTACTCTAATAATTTGTGATCCATGTTTGCTTTTTTTTTAATGTTCAAACCTGTTGCATCAATCTGCCTATTCTCTCCACCCTTGGGATCTCCCTGTCTTTATTCTTCTCTAAAATTACATCTGGAGTGTAGAATAAATTGTATAGTATATCTATAATGTCCAGTAAAGATGTTTCACCTCTAGAAATCCAGTGGGCATAGGGGAGAGAGAAATATGTGGAGATATTCTTGTTGCATGAAAGTAATTTTCTTTATATGATAAAAATAACAGATAAAGATACCCAAGCCTGAATATTGGAAGACACAAAATGTTAGAAAACAACAAATCTGGTAGTGCTTCAGAAAGAGTTTTTGTAACAAAGCTATATTCTCAAGGGACCATAAGAGACAAAGGCATGTTTATTTTTTGTGCATCCTTTTAAAAACCGTACTGATAACATGAAGGCATACTGAGCCCGAGAAACATGGAAACTGATGAAGTGATTTTATAAGATTCCCATGAAATTTAACAGCACTCCCCACACCTCAGATGAAAACACACTATTGCACTTTGTTGGAATCAGGGTTTAGGCACGAACACAGTTAATCCGGTCTCACGTGCGATTCATTCCAGTTGCAGATCCAGCGCGTTGGTGACTTACACAGTATTATAACTGATTGAATTAATTGACAAGCTAAATTAAAACCATACCATGTGCATTTTTAAAGGGGCAGTTCTATAAGTGCACTTCCACTGTGCTGCCAGTGTTCATCATTTTCCACTTGCCATGAATTTACAGTATGTCATGATGCAGAAGCTCTGATTGCATGCTTTTCATTAGCTAGGCTGTAAATAAAGCAGAGATGCTCTGAGGACGTGTGCTGTGTTGACAGCTGGGATTGAAGTCAGGTTTTAGGCAGCTGTCTACTTATAAATGATAACTGCTCTGGATTAGTATGTGCAATTTCATTTTATTTCTCTTTGTTGAAGATGTAACAGCAATTCTATCAGTCTATGTGAAGCTAAGGGAAACCAGCTACAGAACATTTTCTTTTTTAAGCAGTTTGTTTAATGTGATTTCTGTCTGAAAAAGTCAGACCAAAATAGTCAAATTGCAAACATCTCTTTAATGGTATCAATGCCAATGCAAATTACCTTTTACAATACTGTTTCTTACCACACCCTGTACTCAAAGCTTTTCAAAATCACATTCATATGCAGACTTTAACATGACAATATGAGCAGTGCACTGTAGCAACGAGATCTTTAAATGTGATCAGATAAAAGACAACTATTTGACACTATTCAAGATAAAATAAAAACATAATTTCTCCAGTTTCTGTAAACTTACATCTGAAATAGCTGACACTTTGTACAGAACTCATTTCGTTCTAGTGCTTTAATGAACAACAGAAATATCTCTTTACCACAGCAGCTGGGATTCTGAATACTGATATTTGTGTGATAAATATAGTTGTAGCCTACTAATGATAAGATGCGAGGCAAAATGACATAGGCAGGTAAACAAAACTGTTTAGAGTTTACCGTTAACTGTCTTAAGCTAGAAGCAAAAGTCTCATTGCATTTTTCAAAAAATGTATTTGCATTTTTTAGTGTTTATACATCATATGTATGACACATGGCCAACAGACGCTCTAAAATAAAATGTCTAGATTTATTTACAAAGAGCTAAGGCAATTTGTTTAATAAATACAGGTTATGTACGGGTACCAATGCAAGTTGTTACCAAATCCAATTTAGATACAAAGCATTAAAATAGTTTAATTAAACGACAATGGGGTTTCCTGAAGCCATCTATAAACGATCAGTTGTAAAACTAAATACAATATTTAATCGCGTTCCGTCTGTCGTTTTTTTCGCTCGCAATTTTGTGGTTTTGTTCGAACATGTGAAATCAATTCAGAGCAATTAATACCCCCAAATTAATCTCTTCTGTGCAAATAAAATAAAAACGAATCACAGCATTCCTTGACTTTCAATTAGTATTTCAACAAGATTGATTGCACAATTCTCTGTTACAACAGCAAACAAAGTATTGTTCCCTTAACATCCGCTTACCTTTTCCAGAAAGGAGTTAATACATAAAAACCGAAGGCTGATAATTAAGAATATAAGAAATTATTGCGGTCCTTAGAAGTTAACTTTTAACTTATTTTCCGTCGTTTATTGTTATTATTAACAATAACAACATAACTGAAAGCGAACAAATCAGAAATTAATAACGATTTCATAACGATTGAGAATTATTTAGAATTATTAATTCAGCCTTTACATAAAAGTATGTACACGGCATACCGTAAATGCTTGTTTTAACAAATGCATACTGAGAACGGAGACGTGGACGTAGGTATTTATGAGTCTTCCGTTTTTTTGGAAAAGAAACAAAATCACTTTTTTATGATTCGGCATGGGATAAAAAGTTTTCAAGAGTGTGAAAAGGCGACCGTGAAGCGATTAGACTTGTTCACATTTGTCTCCACCTAAACCACGTACAAAACAACAGGAAACAAAGGGGTGAAAAGAAATTATGGTTACATTCAAACTTTTTTTGATTTATTATTCGAGGGGAAAGTCTTAATAGAAAACAGCTCAGTGAAGAAAGCTGCATTTAGTAAAATATTGCACACACACACACACAAAGGAAAACGTGAAGAGCTTCGGATGTCCAACTCTTCAGGCGACGGTTGTTAGAAAAAAAAATCAAAGTAAAATATACATTAAAAATATTTTTTAATTATTTATGCAAAGATTGGACGTAGCCACTGAAACATCCAGGTGATTACTTATGTCTGAGTAAGCCGTCTTGTTGACGATAAAAACTACACTTAAATATGAAAACAGTTTATACTGTTCAGAATTGGATTATTTTTCAATCATTACGCATGTTTACACCGATTTCCCTTTGGAATTGTATCGTTTCTTTTAAAACCAAAAGCGAGTCTTTCCTCGCAGCAGTTAACGGGTTAACTACCAGTTGTCGCTGAGCATTGTGGGTAGCGGTAATGGCCGTTGACGCTATGAAACATAAACTTTTTAGTCAGTTTTGTGTTTTTGTATTGGTTTTATCGCCGTTTTATTTTTCTAATGCGGGCGAACTGCAGTGGGACGATAATGGATACATACTGTACTGCCCCTGCATGGGTAAGGGCCTTTCAACAATTTAATTAACAGTTTCTCCTGATCATTGTGTGTGAGCTACAGCGTTGAGCAAGACAACAGGTTCAGTTCGCTGCTAGATACCCTACACTACTTTTGGCAACAAAATATGACTTGTTACGTGACTTGTTCCCGTTTTCATTCGTCAAAAAATGTAGAGATGAAAGTGAAACATTTTTTTGCATTGCCGACTTTAATAATTTAGAGACGGGTAGTTATTGAGAGGCGTGAAACGTACACATCTGTATGATTGTATGTTGTGCAAACGCACGTTTCGGCATGATCTGTTGATTTTTTTTTTGCTTTTCCAATTACTGATACCTTAGCTACAGTTACCGCCATCTGTTATTCAGATATTTCTAATCATCATTCTCTTTTTCTGTTCCAGGTAGATTTGGGAACCAGGCTGATCATCTCCTGGGTGCCCTGGGGTTTGCACGGATGCTAAATCGTACTTTGGCTGTGCCTCCGTGGATCATCTACAGGCATCACTCGCCGCCCTTCACGAATGTGCGTATCCAGTCATGGTGTTCGTTTACTCCCACTGGCCAAAATATTAGGATACCCCCAGTAAAATAATCCAGGGGTGTTTGTTTTGACCCATGAAGGTAGCGAACAAACGAGGATGTATTTTTGTTAAAGCATACGTATCAAAATGCAAGTTTTGAATGTTTTTTTTTTCAGACAAACGCTGTCGTTTTGTGTAGCAGAGTTGTAGACGGGCTAGATGAGGATACTGCTGTGCCGTTGACTAGGAGAGTCTCCATGGGAATGTACTGTTGTAGTCTACAAGTCTAAAAGCAAGCCAGGTGACCGTATTCAGTGCCCAGGCAATGTGTATCAGAATGATGCCCTTTCCATCTAGCCCTTCATTGTGATGTGCAGAGTAGGGGTGTTCTGTCTCAATGTATTTACCACCCTCTCCCCCCCCCCCGCCCCCCATACAGCTGCATGTTCCTTACAGGGAATTATTCAAGCTGGAGCCTCTGCAGCAGTTTCACAGAGTCGTCAGCCTCGAGGACTTCATGGAGCGGCTGGCCCCCTCTGGCTGGCCCCCGGGCCAGCGAGTGGCTTACTGCTTTGACGCCGCAGCGCAGAGGAGCCCAGACAAAAAGAGCTGTCCCATGAAGGTAGCTGACGCCCGGGGAAGCCCCGAACCTCCCCGAGACAGAGATGTTCTTCGGGAGCGGGGCAGTGGAATGTGATTACTGGTTCAATGCTTTTATGGCAGCACGAGGCTGTCATCTGGGAATTTTCACCCATTTCAGATACGGATCACCTTTTTTATACCTTTTCCATTGTACATTATTTTCATATTACTATCACGCGGTGCTTTTTACTTAAAAGTTTTAAAATACATAATGCATTGATGTTCACTACCAGTTTTACAGCACCCCAGACTTTTATCTTTGTTTGGTACCCAGAAAATGCCCAGGGCCTAAATATCTGCTAACCATGGTCAATTTAGACCAGTAGTTCTTAACCTTTACTGCTGCCTGCATCCTTTAGGTTCTTCAAATATTTCTCACACCCCGTATCAAAAATTATTGAAGTACGTCAGTTCTTTAAACCCTGAGATATATTAAGACTAGAATAAAAGAGAGAGAATTACTTAGAGTCCCTAGGTTTGTTGAAACAAAGTAGTTGTACATATGTGCTTGTGCTTGATTAGCGTTTTTGGTGATTTACCTTCTAAACAAATCTGGCCTGACTCACACCCCCAGAAAGAGCATTTTGCACTCCAGGTTAAGAGCCACTGATTTAGACCATGCCAGTAATTGGTTCAGTTAGGTCCTTAGTAACTCGGGTGAAAGTGGAAATTAAAGGTATCGTAGCTCACCAAGAAAAGGAGTCAGTATGACTGCTACATGATTGGGTCAGTATACAACTACTACAATAATAAACATAGACCTTCTATCCAGCAGCTTTAGACAGTAATTGTCTAATACTGCACAGATTAATTCTAGGAATATTTATCAGTCAAACCTGATAAGTGAGTTGTGGTAAAGTGATACATGCTAGATTTAAACATCAAGCGTTTTGAGATTGAATACTGAGGTGTCCACGATTAAGCTTAAAAGCAAAGCACCTTGTCCTATGGATAGACCTGAAATGCAGGGAACTAAAGATAGCTAACGTAATAGGAAAATACTGCCATCTAGGGGGGTGTTAATAGAATTATTTGTTATTTTTTCAATCGGTTCTGCAATGTCATGTATAATTTATGGGAGCTGAATATAAGGACTTTAAAATATTACTCTTTTACCCTTTAGTGTTACAGAATATGCTGTGTTAAGATATCTGTAGTGTGTCAACCCTTGCTTTTCTTTTTCTATATAACGTTCACTGTAGGAGGCTAGTGTTGTGCTGTTGTGCTCTTCATGCTGTTGCCAGACATAACTATTTTATGTCTTTGTACTCCTGCTAATAAGAAATTTATATATTTTTCCCTTTAGGATGGGAATCCTTTTGGGCCTTTCTGGGACCAGTTTGGAGTGGAGTTCGATAGGTCTGTCCTCTTTGGAGGCATTTCCTTTAACAGTTACTACAAGCAACACTGGATCAAAAAGCAAGTACTTTCAATGCATATTTTCCCTGTCTGACAGATAGCATATTACGGTCTTTGATGATCAAAACGACGGTAACACTATTTTTGAGACGCATTGTGTCTGTCTGGCCTTGGTATGTCAAATTGGCCTCAGTCTGCTTACAATTCCTCTGCCTTTTTCTTCCCAGTCTGTATTCAGTGTAGCTTCTGCTGGCTCCTGCGGTTTGAAATGGATGTGTTAAGGCAACTGTCCTTGTGAAGTGTCTGTTGTTCTGTGAAAGTCTAATGTGATTGCTCTACCACTTGCCTCTTTTCAAGATATCTACGGCATAACAGAATTTCCATTCAGCACATGATCCGGTCCATCTGTGTGAATGCTGTTTGGCTGTGTTGATCTGCTCCTTGTTCATATTTTGGTCTTTGCTGTCAGATTCCCTCCATCAGAGCACCCTGTGGTGGCTTTTCCAGGGGCTCCTGCCCAGTTCCCCGTGCTTGAGGAGCACGTGGGTCTCCAGCGCTATGTGGTTTGGGCTGATCAGATGGCCCAGGAGGGGGAAAGCCACATCAAATCCCTGCTCGTTCGGCCCTACGTAGGGATACACCTGAGGATTGGCTCAGACTGGGTAAGGTTTGTAGATTCTATTGAGCGGGCAGTCATGTAAGCAATACTGACTTGCCTTTTTGGTACAAAGTCCTTGGATATATTTCTGTACATGCTTAGATTGTTTGTAGTGCCTTGTTTTCACTGCCAAGTAAAGACTTGTTATTGCACACTTCTAATAGGAGTATTCTTTACAGAATACCTGGGAGGCAAAAATCTATTCATTTGTGCTGTTAAAAAAAGAACTAATTTAACGCAATCTGTTATACAGTATTTTGTGTTCCAGGGAATTGGTGTGGGATGGTGTATGTGTGTTTCTTCTGTTACGGTGCTTACAGTTGAATATGTTTTGTTTGCTTTCATCCATAATTATGAGGAACACACTGACATGTCAAATCCTTACATGAATGTTTTTCTGTTGTGAATAGACGTAGCTCTTCAGATATATGGTATATAAAAGAATGGTTTTTCAGTGAAAAGTGTCCATTTCTCTAAGAAGTGAGTATTGAGAGAGTAGCTGAGGGAAGGTGTTTTCCTTGCTGTTGAAGATCTGTTCTGCCTTTGACAGCAAAACGCCTGCAAGCTGTTAAAAGATGGGGAGGCAGGACCACACTTCATGGCCTCCCCGCAGTGCGTGGGGTACAACCGCCAAACTGCTCTGCCACTCACCATGGACATGTGTCTGCCAGACCTGAAGGAGATCAAGCGGGCCCTCAAAGTGTGGGTGAAGAAGACCAATGCCAAGTCCGTCTACATTGCTACTGACTCTGAATCTCACAGCAAAGAGATAGAGAAGCTGTTCAAGGGAAATGTGAGTATGACTTCGTTTCTCCCCATGCTTGCTGAATCTTTAGAATTTCAGTTGTTGCAAACTTAATTGAGAAGGATTAGGGATTCCTTCTGTGCCTTTGCTCATTTATTCTGCTTACACTTCTCTTTGTAGATGATGCCCAATGTCTTTTAACTGAGTGAAAAATTGTTGCAACTGTCATTAATTGTATTTGTCTTGTATATTTAGCCAAAGTAACTTTCATTTGTAGCCATTTGTATGGCTGGGTCTCTTACTGGTGCAATCTGAGTGAGGCACCTTGCTTGAGAGTGTAACAGCAGTGCCACACCTTGGATTTGAACCACATGTTTACAGTTACAATTCCTAACCACTATGTACTCCAAAGTGCTGCCTGTCAGGCCTTTTTTGTTTGTATTTATTCCCTAATCTTTTTTTCTAGCTTGGCAGGTTTTGTAAAAGGGAGAGGAACATTTCTAATCTTCAGATAAAAGAAAAAAAAGAAAAAAAAACAGTTCTAGGACCATGCAGAACCATTACTTTTTCAGGCATGTTTTTGATGATTTATCCTCCTTCTTTGAACAGGTTAAGATTGTAAGTTTGCAGCCTGATGTGGCTCAGATAGACCTGTATATCCTGGGACAGGCAGACCACTTCATTGGGAACTGTGCCTCCTCTTTCTCTGCCTTCGTAAAACGGGAACGCGATGTTCACAACAGACCTTCCTCGTTCTTTGGAATGGACTATCCTGGAAAGAAAAGAGATGAACTGTAAGACCGCAGCAGATGAGGTCATTCACTGTTGGTTGCTGTGCTGGAAATAGCCAGGCTTCTAATAGGTTAGGTAAGAGGGGGGAAATGCAAGTTTATTTTTAGTGAGCCTTCACTTGTGCAAAGAAAACTTTACTATATCATGACTGACAGTATACACTGACAGTATACACATTACACATAGTATACTGATCTCATAACAATTAACAGACACTCTTCAGAATTACTTCTCTTCAGTTTTGTCATGTTTTTAAAATCTTTAAAAAAAAGTAACTGAATTTTGTCTGCAATCCTTAAAAAGGCTGGATTACTACTGTTTAGAAAAACTATTTTCTGGTAAAATTTGGCTTTAAAAGAATATATGGGTAGTATATTCATAAATAGTCACAAGATTTTCGATTACTTTTCTGAGATCTGCGATTTAATGATCATGCATATTTTATTTTGACATTGATTTTAGTACCCATTCCCATTTTTAATGACTCTTTCTTTCAGTCTCTGCTAGAACACAAGCACAAATTCTGGTAAATTCTGTAATCTGTGGATACAGAAAGCTTCAACACATTACATTTGTTTCAGCAGTTTGATAACAGATGTCTGATTTGTTGTGGGAGATTGATGGACGGGTTTATTAAACTTCCAAGAATGGAACAGAGGAGTTTTAGGAATTATGGTTTTGGTGCTTCCTGATCTTGCTCTCTGTCAGGAAATCTGGGATAATTCAGATATCTCGTGTCCATGGGACTGGACAAAGTGAGCAAGATGTGAGAACTATAGCTGTAGTTCTTTGGAAGTACATAATTGTGTGAAACTTTCTTAAGGCTAAGAAAAATTAAGTGTTTTTTTCTGTTGCTTTTGTCATTTTTTACTTGCTCAAGTGTATACATGTATATTGGGGTTGAAAGATTAGAGATGGGTTCTTCCCTGGTTTTTGTACAAGCTTGAGAATACCAATTGAAACAATTTTTTTTTTAGGAACAAAATGATATAGATGTTCAAAAGCTGAAAAAAAAACTGTGTATTTTTTTATACACTTAAATTGAAGATTCTGAGTACATAGAGTACCTGAGCTCAACTGTATTACTAAAAACCCAGAAAATCATGGACTGTCAGGAAGATTTTAGAGCTTTTTATAGCTTTCACTGTGAATGCCATTAGCACTGTGGATGTTGGGATTCAGTGCTACGTTTAGATGTACTATACTCAGACATGACTAACAAGATAATCAGCTGTGTTTTGATACTGTCATTCATTTTGAATTGTGTATTCTGAAATATCGGAAGTATTTTTTCAAACAAAAAAAACAATTTTACATGTTTGTCAGTTTTGTCAATTTGACATCAATTTCTGTCGGTTTATATTGGATATGTATTTTGTATTAAATAAACTGATTTCACCGGTAATAAACTTTTGAAGCGATTTTCTTACAATACATGATTGTGTAAGCTTTCTTTTTATTCATGCAATAATTTAAGAAGATTAATCCTGGGTTACGTTTCATTACAATATTAATTGCTCTACAACATGTTAATTTTTAATTTTAGGACTGAGTCACTGGAATTATATCGGCTATAAAATTACCAGCACCATCTAATTTCATAATGCGTTGTTTTTCCTTTAAAAGGAAAAGCAACGTCAAATAAAATGGCAAAATTAAACCCCCCCGGGGGGCCTTTTTAAAAAAAAAAAACGACTCGGTTTTACAGTGTGGCCGGACTGGAGAACAAATAGGTACGCTACAATGTAGTGCACGTCTCGAAAGCTGACTTTAAAGCAGTTGTCTGTGCTCAGTAGGATCATCGATAAGGTGCCATCCTGCACCATTTCATTATCATCGCAGTTGCTCTGTGTAGGGAGGTTTACTTCAGCCGGTTTCCAAGGAAGTTCTCTTTCCATCCGGGACAGTGGAGGCTGAACAGTAATGGCTGACGACCGAGAGGGACTGAACTGCAGGTAACCCCGCATTAAGCGCAATTTATCCGTGGTATGGTTTTGCCTGACCTCGTCGAGAATTAAATTAAAACCACTTTAAGAGCTAGCGTGCTTCGACGGACGAGTAACAGGATTAGAGGAGGTTGGGTTTTTTTTTGTGCAAATTAATTTGTTTTGCCGTTGCTAGGCCGCTTCACGGGTTGCTGAGGTACCGTAGTGATTCGTTTTTTTTTTTTTGCTTTCCCAGTCAAGGAGACGTGATTCACATGAATGCTCTTTTAAATATGGGCACAATCTTTGTAGACTTAATTAGCTTCATTACGTTTTAGTTGTGTTTCTAAAGGTTGTTTTGATTGCAGTGCATTTTTTTCAATGGATAACGTACAGAATGTCTGTTAAATGTTGAATATCTGACCAGACATAATATTAGTTTTCAGTCAAAAGTATGCAAGAATAACCGTAATTTTGTAATACTTTGCAGTACATCTTCTCTTGTTTTCTACCGTCTTGTAGAGTAGCTGCCTTGTGTTAATGCGAAGGAGAAAAATGCCCATCCCTAGTATGCTGTAGCGCATCCCAACAGCTGAGAAAATCGTGGTTTGAAGAACGCAAAAAATAAAACAAAAGTGCATCTAAAATCTTTAAAAGAGTCCTATTTAGTGTTAAATAGTTTAGTTTCCCGTACCTCTGCTGCACGTCAATAGATAAAATATCGTTTCATATTGGAGATGTCCGTACTGTATGTAGTGGTGGGTGAGGTAACGATTTAAAGGCGTATTCGAGAATTATTGTGAAAAACAAATGCAGCGACAAGTTTTAGAAAGGCGTTCAGGGTAGTCTTCAATACCTTTGGGGCCTCATCGTCCAGTAACTGATTTGGTTTCAGGAAATTCAAAGACGCTATCCGAGGTAAGGTGCTTTTGCTGAGCCAAGTCTGAATAACAGCAATCGAAACTTGCTTACCCTAAATGGGGTACCTAATATAAGTAGTCTTGGATCAGAGATGGAATCTGTGAGACTATTCTGCATATTGTTTGAAATTATTTTGAATATTATGAGAGTGATTTATTTAGTTAGTGATGTGCTCAAAACAATTCTGTCATTAGATCTAACGTGTTTTCTTGTGGTCTGCTGCCCTTAATCTACAAAGCTAAAACCGTAAAATAAAATGATTTCAGTTACGGTGAACCAACTTTTCCTTTTTTTTATGCAACATTAAAAAAAAAATTAATGGATTGCAAAAGCATGTTGTAGTATTTTGTATCTCAGTAGCACTAAAACCTCAGGGATTGGAACAGGCAGAGGTAATTCGTGAATTTCCCACAGCTGAAATGAGCAAAAAGCAGAAAAGAAGCCTCTAAGATAAGTAGCTTGCATACGGAATTCCATCCTGTATAGGCCTGAATTTGACAATCTCTATACTCTAGAGTTTCATGAACACCGAACTCCTCCGTAGTGTTGTTATTAGGATAAAGATGTAGTCTGCAGGAGCTGACAAATCGAGTAATCAGAATGGTCTCTGTTCACATCCTCCCAGTTAGTTATTCATGTATGCAGTGGCTTTTAGAAGATGGGACTCCACAGAGAGAAAGGCTCTCTGAATCTTCCAGTATCTCTGGGAAGCAGTAAATATTCAGTTAGCCCTCCTCTGTTTCTAGCCGGCATAGAAGCAAAGCATTTATTTGGGATGGGTAGTAGATTAGTGTCCCCATGACCTTATTTCTAATTAGTTTTAAACCATTCCCTGAGTATAAAATACTAAGTGATGTCCTGTTAACTAGTCAATTCTCATGAAACCTTCCCATGCAAAATTTGTTGAAAATACTATGAGACTCATATCTTCACTGGTGAAGGTTGGTGCAAGGAAAGTTCTGTAAAATTGATGTTTTCACCACTGTATTGTAGGCACTGCTGCCAGCACCAACAGATGGATGAACTGATATCAAGTGCATGACATGTTTTTACCGTATACTGTTACACCAAGGGGTTGTTAGGTTTAATTTGATTATTGATTTTGAAACAAGATCTCTTGGCCCCAAATGTGTTGGGCTATTCTGTAAATATAAACATTGCATTTCAAACAGATGCGCGTTTAATGGTGAACAGTGAATCACTGAGACAAAAGTTTGGTAAAATCTTGCTGGGGTTGCATTATGACATTTAATACATTTACTTGTGGCAGCAGTGTGAAACTGTGGTTAAGGTTCTGAATTTATAACTTCTGGGTTCAAACCCCAGTAAGGTACTTCACCCAAATCACTGCAGTAAAATACCCTCCTGTATAAATAGATACAAAGGTATATAGAAATTTGTGGAAAAAAAGTTATTTGATTAGACAGGTCCCCAGAACTGTGTTGTGAGCCCTAGTGGGGAAGCACATTGAAAATTAGAAGCATTTTCTAATTAAAGAGCCTCTGAAGTAAAAAAAAATATTATTAATCTTTATCAAGTTACAGCAGATCATAAATTCATTAAACATTGCTTTCAGGCACTGATCGAAAACAGCTTTTACAGCAGTAATATTGTCTGATTACATATTAAGAATCACATACAGAATTTTATGACTGATACTAAAGAAAGTTGTTCCTAGACTCAGGCTGCTAACAAAAATGTTCCAGTACGAAAATAAACTAACAATTGTGTGTTTGCTTAGGGTTTGAAACCAGATGACTTTCACTTGATGTCAAGAAACATCGATTTTCAAAATGTCTAAAACCAAAAGCTCCGAGTCTGTGAAGGTTGTCGTCAGATGTAGGCCGATGAATGAGAAAGAGGTTGCTGCTAACTTTGAGCGAATGGTGTCTGTGGATGTGAAACTAGGGCAAGTCTCTGTGAAGAATCCCAGGGGAGCACCAAGTGAACTTCCCAAGACATTCACATTTGATTCCGTGTACGACTGGAATTCCAAGCAGGTTGACCTCTATGATGAGACCTTTAGACCCTTGGTGGATTCTGTCCTTCTGGGTTTTAATGGAACCATCTTTGCATATGGCCAGACAGGAACTGGCAAAACCTACACTATGGAAGGAGTGCGTAATGACCCAGAGAGAAGAGGAGTCATCCCTAACTCTTTTGAGCATATATTTACACACATATCTAGGTCCCAGAACCAGCAGTACCTTGTCAGAGCGTCATATTTGGAAATATACCAAGAGGAGATCAGAGACTTATTATCAAAAGACCAGGCCAAAAGACTTGAGCTAAAGGAAAGGCCAGATACAGGTGTTTATGTCAAAGACCTGTCATCTTTTGTCACCAAAAGCGTGAAGGAAATTGAGCACGTCATGAACGTCGGAAATCAGAACCGATCTGTGGGAGCCACCAACATGAACGAGCACAGCTCCAGGTCACATGCCATCTTTGTCATCACCATTGAGTGCAGTGAGTTAGGCTTGGATGGGGAAAATCACATCAGAGTGGGAAAGCTCAACCTGGTGGATCTAGCGGGCAGTGAACGTCAAACTAAAACAGGAGCGCAGGGTGAGAGGTTGAAAGAAGCCACCAAGATCAACCTGTCTCTGTCAGCATTGGGAAATGTAATCTCTGCCCTGGTGGATGGCAAGAGCACCCATATCCCATACCGTGACTCCAAACTTACCCGTTTGCTTCAGGACTCCTTGGGTGGTAACGCCAAGACAGTCATGGTGGCCAACATCGGCCCGGCCTCATACAACGTAGAAGAGACTCTCACAACTCTGCGGTATTCCAACCGGGCAAAGAACATCAAGAACAAGCCACGAGTGAATGAAGACCCGAAGGACGCCCTTTTGCGGGAGTTCCAGGAGGAGATAGCTCGCTTGAAGGCTCAGCTGGAGAAGAGATCGGGCAAGAGGAGGCGGAAGAGACACAGGCGACATGTGGGCGAGGGGGGAGAGGAGCTGGGTGAGGAGGAAGAGGAGGAGGAGGAGGAGGATGGGGAGGAGGGAACGGAAGATGACAAAGATGACACAGATTACTGGCGAGAACAACAGGAGAAGCTGGAGAAGGAGAAGAAGGCCATCATGGAAGACCACAGCTTGATAGCAGAGGAAAAACTGAAGCTGCTCAAGGAGAAGGAGAAGAAGATGGATGACCTGAAAAGGGAAAAGGAAGCGGGTGAGATGCTGGCTGCCAAAGTGAAGGTTGGTGTCAATTATTAACGTTGTTTTCACAATAATGTGAGGTTTCAAGACTGAAGTTTATTTCCATGTTCAGAATTATCTTGATGCCAAATGAAATTGATTCTGAATTTAGTCTGATTTAAGAATATTGTCTTTAAAAACAATATGATGTAGTTTTCAACTAGGCTAATCTTTTAACGGCAACAATGTTTAGCAGCAAAGTGGTCTAAAGCTTTGAAGCTACTTTGGTTAATTGTGTAGCTCTGATAATTAATTTTTGTTTTTCCTTTGTATTTGCATTGTGGGTGTCAGTGACATGGTGGTTAGCACTGCTTTCCCGCTGTTTGGTCCTAGGCTTGATTCTGAACTGGGGTGTCTGCTGAGGTGGAGTTATGCACCTTTGCATAGGTTTTGCCAGGTGCTTCGCTTTCCAAAGATTTGTTGGCTAGGTTTATTGACGTCTAAATTGTGCGTCAGGCGGGTTCCCAGCGATAAACTGAAATCCAGGGTGTGTTCCTGCCTTGAGCATTATTGTCCTAGGATAGGCACTCAGTTGCCATAACACTAACAAGGAATAAGTGACTTTCTGGTAATTATAGTGGATATTGTCATGATCACTTTTTAGGATTTCGTATGGATGAAAATATCCTTATAAGTAAATGGTAGAATGTTAGTTTCCAAAGGGACCTCTCTTTTCTCCAGTTACTCTATAGTTTTGTCTCCTGTCATTTTGGGAGTTTTCGTTTAACTGCTGCTCTGCACAGTCAGGACAGTATTAGATATCATGGATCAGTGATTTGCACATTAGTCGAGAAGTTCTTTTAAATTAACATCCATTCGTGGTATTGCCAAGTTAAAACTGCAATAATGTGCCTTACTGCCTCAAGAGGTCATCTCTTGATATTGCTTGAGATTTCACTCTGTTCTTAAGTCATGAAGGCACTTAACGCACAATATCAGCATATCAGCAAGGTACCTTAATTATATTTGATAATCATATAATAGATCTCACAGATACTGCTGAGCATTGCAATTTTGTTCCCTGTGTTTAGGACAGAAATCTATTGAGCTAGTTTTATTAGTGATACAAATCATGTTTTAATTTAAATTGATCATGCAACTTTGTTGTGCTGTAGATCTAAAATAACTTGGAGGTAATCATTGGAAAGATAATACATTCTGGCAGGTGATATTCTCAGTGTGAGGAAATGCCAAATTGGAAGAGCTGTTTGTGGAAAATCTCAGATTAAAATAGGAAATAGTTTGGTTTATTATATTTCAGTAGCAACAAATATAGTAATTCAGTCTTTGCAGAAAAATGCTATAGATCTTTGTGACTTTTGTGAGGTTTTGAAACACTATTATGTACATTATCATAAGCCATATTATGATAATCTTAAATAGCGTTTTGCATATAACATAAACATGTTGTACAAGTATTGACCTTTACTGTAATAGAATATTATATAAATGCATTTTGTACAGCTAATGCTAATGCAAGCAGGCATCATCTTAAAATTGTGGAATGCTGTTGTCACCTTTGAGCTTACTGCGGTGTGTTTTTTCTGTACCTTCACAGGCCATGGAGAGTAAACTCCTTGTGGGAGGTAAAAATATTGTTGATCATACAAATGAACAACAGAAAATACTGGAGCTGAAACGACAAGAAATTGCAGAACAGGTGAAACAAAAGCAAAGTCACAGAAATATTAAAAATAATAAAAACTACAGACTCAAAGCTGTTGAAAATAAGAATGGTTTTTAAACCAGAGGATATCATTTGCCCCATTTAGCTGTCTGTATACATTAGTGTAGTATTAATTTTCCAAGAAATTTGTTGGTGGAAGAATTACTATTTCACTATCCCGTTTGGAAAGAACCTGTATTGCAGATAACAAAGTACTTCAGCCACTGCTAATGTATGAGCTACACTCTTCCAGGTTTTGTCTTTAATATTTTAGCAATGCAGTATTTTAATTACTTTTAATGACTGTATTCTGTATTATTTTTGCAATGATTTGTATGGTTTTTAAAAAATGGCTGATAGTAGAGGATCATCTTTTGCTGTTTTCTTCATCTCCCATTTTAGATGTATACATATTGTATTGTCTTAACATCTAACAATCCAGCAAAGCTTATTCAGTGGCTAAAGACTCCCCTTGTGTAAATCATCACAATTTTTAGGTGGATAAAAAAAAAAATCAACAACATGAATCAACTTTAAATTTCAGTTCACCAATGGTAGTCATAGTAAATCCAGCGTTTTCACGCATTTCTGATGTCGTTATGTTATTTTTTAAATTCTGTTATTTTTTAAAATCGGCTAATAATCTGGTGTTTGTTTCACGTTGACATGTTTTAATTGGGGGTTAGAAACGAAGAGAGCGGGAGATGCAGCAGCAAATGGAATCTCGGGACGAAGAGACTTTGGAGCTGAAGGAAACCTACAGCTCCCTGCAGCAGGAGGTGGACATCAAAACAAAGAAATTGAAAAAGGTGTGATGCCATTTTGTTATTTACTAGAGGTTTTTCTGTAGGTTACCGAATAACAATTATGCTTAATTACTGTTGAGCAGGTATAACTGTTATTGATGTATTTGAAAAGTTAAAACATTTAGTGTCATTTTTCAATGCATATTCAGATATCTTAAAAATATTTTTTTGACTTTTACGTCATTACTATTAATAATAATTGTTTAGTGAACACTCTTAAAGTTACGTGAAATTCTTGAGTTTTTCATTTTTTGTACCAACTGGGCAAACTTTCGCTTGCAGAAAATGATTTCCTGTTTTCCTCTTTATAGCTGTTTGCAAAGCTACAGGCAGTTAAAGCTGAGATCCATGATCTACAGGAAGAGCACATTAAAGAAAGACAAGAACTGGAGCAGACTCAGAATGAGCTGACTAGGGAACTGAAGCTCAAGTACGTAAATGATACATAACTGAACACATAAATGATGCTTCTGCTGAGCAACATGTTTCTAAGGGCATTGTGTTTGCTGTTTTATGAAAAAGTATCAAACTTTTGACTTGTTTTTTTTCTTACTATTTATTTACCTTGTTTTAGACACCTTATCATTGAGAACTTCATCCCAATGGAAGAAAAGAACAAAATTATGAACAGGGCATTTCTCGATGATGAGGATGATCACTGGAAGTTGCGTCCCATAACTCGGATTGAGGAGTACGGATTTATATGATTTTCTTTTAATTAAATTAGAAAATGAAGTTGGAGTGTTGGGCTTCTGCTTCGTTAAGCTTTCTATAAATGTTCCAACACAGGAATAGCACTAGATTGTTTACCGTGTAAAGTTATCATCCTTCCTGTGCATTCTGGGCATTATGTTTAGAAAGTTAAAGCTACATATTTTTAAAGTGATGTATGCCATTATGACTGTGCACGAATACTGCAAAATATGGTCATATTTTGGATCATACACTTTTCTAGTGTATATTTTTAACATCTCTTTTCAAAAGAGAGCCCGTAACTTGGACTTTTACCCTATAGGTGTTCCAAGAAACAATGAATTATGAAGCCCTTTATCTTTCTGTCCTGCTGGATCATTTCTTGCAGTAATCAACAGATGATGATCAGGCCCATCTCTGCTGTGGGCTACAAGCGGCCCCTGAGTCAGCATGCAAGAATGTCGATGATGATGAGACCTGAAGCTAGATACAGGGTGAGCACTTTTCAGTTCAGTTCCCTTTCACATAAGAGGTGAGTTAAATCTTGGGTCAGCTGAAATCAGATCTATAGATTGGTTTATTGAATACCAAACCAAACTTCAGTCCTCTCAAGAGGGTTTGGGCATTTCTTCAAAGATGGACCAGTTTGATTTGCAGATATCTCGCACCAAGGCTTTATTTAACACATGTGGCAACTTTTAGATCCTCTACATTAATACTTTCTAGGCTGTTGTTTTAGAGTTAAATGCAGTCTTATGACCCATATGCTACAAGGAGGTTAACTAAGTAGACAGAGGTGAATTAAGTTTTTTTTTTCCTGTAATTATTTTTGTCAATTCTTACCTCCAGAACTGTACAACACAGACTTGTGTTATTATTCAGAAAACATTAACAAAGATAAAAGTGATAAAAAAGGACTTATATGAAAAATTGCATTTTTTGCCATTTTGTTTTCAGACATTTTTACAATGGCAATAAAAACATTTTGCAATATTTGTGTTGTTCTTACAGTGCTGATATCTGTGCCTGAAATGAGCCTGGTTTTGTATACAACAATGGCTGTAGCTGAGACCACTTTAAATGGGATGCCCCTCATATTATAAAGAAAAAGGGCTCCAAGCAGCCTCCTGCCGGTTAATAATGGGCATTAATCTTTTGGCATCATACCCTGACAGGCCGAGAATATCCTCCTGCTGGAGCTGGATCTGCCCAGTCGCACCACAAGAGACTACGAGGAGCCGGCCATCGCCCCCAAAGTGGCGGCGGCGCTGGAAGCTGCGCTGCAGGACGAGGCTGAGATTCAGGTGGATGCGTCGACTTTCGAAAGCTTTGGCAACAGGAAATTAAAGTCCAGGTGAGATGCTGCATGTAGTGTAAGCAGGCCTCCCTGCTCAGCCGTTAACCATTTATTCAGACCCTTTCTATGATGTCCCATCTTGTGTAACTACAATATGCTACATGTTTTAACTTAGAATTAATTTACCTAATATTTTATTAAAAACCTGGATGTTCAAAATGAAGAGTTTTAGGTCTGGAGCAGGTTTTCCTCCATAATATGTCAGTACTTTCCTCAATCTATGTCAGTTTTTATAAGCTTGCCAGTCCCTACTGACTATAAAATAATGCTGTCACCACCACGCTTGGCAGTATGGATAGTGTTGGCTGAATGATGCATTATGCTGGGCTTGCATCTGATGTAACAATTAGCATTTAGGCCAAAAGGTCTGACTGCAAAATGTTTTCCACATGTTTGCAGTATTACTTAGGTACCTTGTTGCATACACGGTGCAGAATTTGAGATGTTCTTTTTTTTCAGTTCTCCTTATGCCCTCTTTATGAAGTGACTGGGATATTGTTGACCCATGGACATTTTTCCCATCTCAGTCACTTAACTAACTCTTTCAAAGTTTTCTTTAGGCTTATGGTAGCATCCCTAACCAGTTTCCTCCTTAGCCAGCAGCTCAGTTTGAAGGGACAAACCTGATCTAGGTACTATCCGGGTACTTCCCACTTACATCTTAAAGATTGAATTTACTATGCTCAGAGGTTTTGGATCTCTGGATGTTTTTTCCTGTGCTCTTGATCTGTACAGCTTAATCCTGAGTTGTTTTGAAAGCTTGTTCTTCATGGTTGAATCTTTGCTTGAAATTCACTATCTGCTGTAACTGATGGACCTTACAGAGACAGGTGTATTTATTCTGAAATCATGTGAACCATTTTTATTGTACATGGACAGTGGCCACTCAACTAATTGTGTGGCTTGTAAAAATACTTCTGTAAATGTAAATGTAGGTTTCCTGCAGAAAAGAGTTTGACTTATGTGTAAACATGCAATTTGTCTTTCATATTTACTTATTGCTTTTTTATACTTTTAATGTATGGATTAGGTTATGTATATAATAAATATTAAATTGTCAGGACAACAAACTTTAAAGCACTAAAACTGCACAGTGAAATCTATGCAAGGTACTGAAATCTTTTGTTATAGACTATATGTAAAACTTTTTTTTTTCTGGAAATAGACTGAAAACAGGAAAGAAGGCCAGCACCCCGACCTCATCGTCTTCCCCTGGGAGCGCCGGAAGTCCCTTGTACCCCCAGTCCCGCGGGCTTGTCCCCAAATGAACCTGTCACGTTTCTTTATAAGGCCCTGTATTAAACTGTAAAGGGCAGACAGGGAAGCACTGGTTTGACTTAATTTTTTTAACTGATGCAACTGAAATCTACTATTTTATTTACCTTCTGCATTTTCACTTTAAAGGGTTTTTGTAGGATCCCTGGAAGAAAATTGACTCTTGAATTTACTGTAACACACTGCAAATATAAAAAAACATACCTGCCATTAATGGGAGGGATAAAAACTGGTGACAATTTGCAGACTTTTTTTAATATTGTAATGCAGGCACTCACATCAAAATAACAATGCACTGAAGTCAGTTTTTGCATTCCTTTCAAATGCAATATAATTTTTGCAAGAGTTAGAAGAAAAACAATTGCGTAGTTTAAACGTTGTGTTGGTATGTCCCTAGAACTGTATCCTTTTTGAAAAAGGATTATCCTTTTTAAAAATATGAGGCAGTATTCAGAGGAGCTGTTGACACTGTCAGCTGGGCTAGACAGGAAGAATCAACTTAGTCTGTATCAGCCTTTTCAGATAAAAGAAATATGAATTTGTTCAGCAGTCTTAAACTTTCCATCTGTGAAGTACTACAAGCACTCTCATGGTCTTTCATTACTTTAATCACAACAATGCAGACCAGATCGGAGTATCCTATTTCTTTATTTTAGTATATCACAAATGCTTCTGAAAATAGCAGTAAATAATTAAGAAATGCGTTCTGGTAGGATCGGGATAAAGATATATTCATTGCATTGTAGTTCTCATTTGAGACAAGCTGGCTTGGGATAACTGTGGTACCTTAAAGACCTATTTTAAAAATACCAAATTTAAAAATCTGTACACTAAATATATAAGGACTTTGTGGTGCCTTATAAATGGGTAGGACCTTTAGATTGTTGGATATCATGAGACAGCATGAAGTATTTGTCTTGAAGGCAAGTAGACTGTGGAACATAGGCCCTGACGTTGTTCCCTCCTGGGAATTCAGTGTTCTGTGCCCCCAGTTAAAGAACCCTGTCATGTAATGCATCCACAATAAGACCTCTGCAACTTTGGAGTAACCCCTGTGCCCTCTGGATAGTGCCACTGCTTGCTGCTATTATGATACATTTCTTCCTGTATAACTTGCATACACTTCATGTATATAAAGGAATGGATACTTTGCATAGAATGTTGAGGTGTAAAAAAAAAAGAAAAAAACTAAAATTTTGCAGATTGCTACACTCTAATTTATGTTTGTTTCTGATTTATGAATACAAATGTAGATACACTTTGTTTTTTCAAATCTTTATTTTCTGAACAAGCATAATTTTTATTTGGGATTGTATAATTTAAAGTTATGTATAAAAACTTATTTTTGTGTATCTTTTAGGCTGAGTGAAATGTGAATTTATTTTCTTCTTATGTTACATACAAGAATATGCTTGGAAGTGCTCCTTTTTTGGAATAGCTTTGTATTTTTACTTGCATTGTACAAACCTGTTGTAGGAAAATAATTACAGAGGCCTGAATGAACAATATTTCAGATTTAAAACATTTATGGATTGGTGTATTAGATATAATTTTCATTCACAATCTAGTTGTATTGTTCTACAGCGATAAGACATTTAAAACCACAACATTACAGAGGTCTTGTATGTGATCCTAGAAAGCAGTGCTATGAGCTCAGTCCCTCTTTTTCTGTTTGCAGATGTGATCAAAAATACCTTGCCCCATTATAGTTTGACATGTAAGGATTTTAAATTTAGTATAATAATGAAAATTAATGAAAGAAGAAGGGCAACTAAAATGACTAACTCTTCCCATTTACTGGAAATATAAAATTCTAATTAGTGTTTTGTACAGCATGTATTGACAGATGTTTAGGATGTATTTTAAAGAGTAACAAATAAAATAGTAATAAAATGTGAAGTATACATTTTAAGTTTCAGAAGCTTATGTGACACTTTTATTTCAGCTAGTCATTTACACTGAACCTAGAGTCCATAACTGATTAGACAAAAGGAACTTAATAATTGGTTTGGCTTTATCTTAGACAAACCAAAGTTATGTTTTTGGTCCACCAATGTCATTGTTCTATGTCCAGCTGTTTCATGGTTTGTGATGAAATGTTAAACTCATTTTGTCTGTTTGCTACCTTTAGTTCAATTCATTAAAGAAAGAATGTCTGTTCTTTGATTGGTTTGGTTTTCCTGCATGAAACAAATGCATTTTTAATGTTTTCTTTTTACATGGTAAAAATGGTACATGTTACATGATTGGTGAGAAAAGAGCGCTTTTAAGATTTCAGTTTTAGTTTGAGTTATTGTTGGTTTATCTCCTAAAGCACAGCTTTTAACATACCTGCTTAAAGGTATTCACTAATAAAACTGGTTTTCTTTTTAGTCTCTTCAAAGTTTGGATTAATTTTGAACTGCAAATTCCTTCAATCTTATTCATCAAGTGCAAAGTGTCGATTTATTTTTAAATTTCTGAAAGTAACATCGATGTTTTGAACAGTAAGTACAGTTAATCAAAGTCCAAGAACATTTTTCATCATTACTTTCTCTGGGAATTGTGGTGAGTATGCTGTGTTTTAAACTGAGCATGAAAGGCTTTCCTATTTTTACCTCCAGAAAGAAAAAGAAAATGCATGATATAAAATAGATTGAAGGTTACATAGAGACTGAGCTGTGCTGCTGGTAAATGAAAGTGAACATTAATGGTACCTTGTTGTAGAAAGGAGAAAATCACACTGTAGTGCCTAAAAAAGAAGCTTTAGAAAATAATTATAGAAAACAAAAAATGAATATTTGTGTGCCCATGGGGGAGAGGTGATGGTTTGAATACTTATTATGAATGAATCTGTTAGTGGGCAGGGCAGGGTCAGGTGTTTTACAAGGTTAGTCCAGAAGCCTTTTAATGCTAGCGAATGCAGTGTCTTGAGTTCAAACAGGTTGCAAATGCAACATTAGGTTCTTGGATTAGCTGGATGTTGGCTGACGACATTCTGCATTGCAAAATGAACTTGGCTGTAAGTCAAACTGTTTTGATTTAGCAGGTGGCCAAATCAGCATTGGAAGATGAAGAGCAATGTGATTAATCTTGAACCCTTGATGCCTTTACACCCAACCCCAACCATGTGCCTTTAACATGTCTAGTTAGAGGTTTTTCCTTGTAAAACATTTTACAGTCTTCTGAAAGATTCATTGACATAGTGCCACACAAATTACTTCTCTCTAAGACCTGCAGGATTCATTAAAACTCTGAAGTGCAACTCTTGGAAGTTGCTATTTCTGCTTCAAATAGAGACCTTAAAGACTAGAAATTACAACTAAATTAACAGGAGATTAAAATGTGTATTTTCAAGGCCTGTGATAAAAGCAGATGCCGGATAGTGCGCATATTAAAGCTGCAATCTAATTTGTCCATTAGCAACATACACTTTCACATCAGAGTCGATTTCTGTGATCGGAGTGCTGTGTAAAATGTTTTTTTAAACTTTTCTCTTTTGCCTGTGAAACACATTCAGCTATTAAACGGTAGGTGGAGTTGGAGCGCAAATTTCAGTATTTGTGTACTGCGACGCAACTACATCACATGTACTAGTAATGCTTTTGAAAATTCAGTACAAGAATAACAAACTTGTTTTCGGAGAAGTACTAGAAATGGGTGTGCATTTCGTTTGGGAGAAACGCAAACAGATTTTACGGAATTTGCAGCTATAATACGATTAGTACTAGCAAGTGTGAAGCATTCTTACGGGAGGGGATAAAATTGGTTATTGGTGAAGTGCAAGAATAAGAAAAAAACGTTAAATTATTATACAGTTTTCAGTTTTTTCAAACCTTCATACCGTATGTGTTTAAGGAAGGGTGCAAAATTAAAACATCAGTATTCCGTATATACAATTGTCTTAAAGTGCCACAACCGAAAGTAAACAGGAGACAATAATGTATTCAATTATTTTACAAAAACGCAATACACATCAGCTTTCTCACTGGACATTTTTGGAAAAACAAAGTGAGACGATGACAACGACGCCATTGTGGCTCCATTTCATGTCTACTCGTGGCGATAGCGGGGCCGGGACTACCAGAGCCAAAATGGCGAACTCCGCCGTGCATTATCAAAAGTCCTCCCTGTTTTTTTCTATTTCCAATTACCACCTATAATTCACAATAAACATATAGCATCCGAGACAGGGATAGCGCCGATCGTGGGGTTCGTGGCACAACAATTTCCTTTCATGTGCACTCATAGATATAAGCACCGTATGTGTATATATAAGCAATATTTACGAGCATGTAACGTTGGGTAACTGCACACGTGTTTAGCTCTATTAACCCATATTAAAAATAAAAATAACCTATAATAACACAGACATCTTTAACTACACCTTTATAAAATCCCACATTTTAAAGATGTATATATATATCAAGAAATTCGGGGAACGCATATATGCGGATATCTGATTTTAGAAAAAAAAAACACGTTCATTGCCGGTTTAATTTAAAGAATGCATTGGGTTTTTTTAACGAATATTTTCCGAAATCACAAAAGCCAAATAATGCTCCGGTGCTCTCTGATAGTGGGGGGAGGACGTTGTTTAGTGTTGCATTCCTGCAGTGTGTGCACTTTGACCCTGTAGTTACCCCCACCCCCACCCCCCCGCATTCCTGAGTGAGAGGATTTCCTGCAGCAGAGTGCAGTGTGAGACTCGTCTTCTCTCTGTTTACAAAGAAGAGCGGACAGCGCCGTTCAAAACCCGCTGCCGAGGCTCACGGAGGAGAAGAAGAAGAAGAAAAGAAGCAGGAAGCGACGCCGGGGGAGAAAAAAAGGGACGCATTTTATTCGGAGGGGGTCTTGGGAAAACCATCCTCATCCTCCCCAGCAACATCAACATCAACAACAACGTCGAGAACTTCGAGAAACCCTGCCCTCCTCTCCCACAGCCCCCTCACCTCTCTTCCAACAACAACAACAACCACCACCGCCACGAAAAACAGCAAAGCAGGTTTTTGTTGCGTGCGTGTGTGTGTGTTATTGTTGTAAATTGCAGTCCAGCACGGTCGGCGAGGAAGACGCAGCGGCCGCAGGAAATGAAGGACAAGCAGAAGAGAAAGAAGGAGCGCACGTGGGCCGAGGCTGCCCGCATGGTAATGCCACTGTGAAATCATCATCATCATCATCATCATAACCGTAATGAGGAGAAGAAGCGCAGTTGCATTAACCCTTGCATGAAATGGGAAATCGCCGTCCTCGTCGAACAAAAGGACGCGTCTAGTTATCGGAGTAGTTGCGCTGTGCTTGGAGGAGGAGGTGGTGGTGGTGGGGGTGCTCATTGCATTGCATTGCATTGCCTTGCCTGTGTGTAGCAGGGCGCGATTTTAAAAAGGGGAAATGCATCTCAGGGCGTTTTGGAAAAAAAAAAAAGCTGCCGTCTTTGAGATGGAAAATGTACGTTTGGCCGTGGTTGTTTTCAACATGATTTTCCTTCCTATTAAGCGTATAGGAATGACCTGGAGGTTAGGTCTAACCCCCTCATGCAGATAAAGGCTCCCCACTCAACATTTCTATCCTGTTGGCAGTGTGTTTACTGCAGATCCGGTAGCCTGTGCTTTTTTTTCTTTCCAGTCTTCCACCGTGTTTTGCGAGATCTAGCTTTCTCTTTGGTGGTGAAATGCGTGTTTTTTTTTTTTAATACAGCAGAAACGTAGCATGTTGGTGCGCATGTACGTTTCTGTATCGTCACAAAAGCCCACACGAGTGATGGTTTTCTAAGTAGGGTAAGGCTGTTTTTTGGTTCAACACGTCTTATGTAAAAGCAGGGCGGGTCGAGCTCAGATCACGGTTTAGGAACAGTCTACACGCCTTTTTTTTAAGCTGGAGGAAACGTCGAGTTCCCCCCCCCCAACAAGACACATGACATTGCCAAAAGTAGTAAAAACAATATTTGTCGACATTGTTTTAGCCTGCGTTTTGTGCTTCCACGTTTCATGAAATCCACATGCTGCAAAATGTTTTTTAGAATTTAAAGGTCACTTTGTACGTTTTTAAGTCGCATACGTAGTAGTACTCTGATACCTCTGAGCAGTTAGTAAGTTTTTGACTGGGGGGTTTATCTGCATGGGACTGATTATGCAGCGACTGTTTTATATGTTAGGGTTTTGTGATTCGAGATATTTCTAAAAGTTGTTGAGGACTCAGTCGTCGTCATCAGTTGTGATCCCAGCAATTTTGGGATCTGAACCTGCATGTTCTTATCTGTGGTTGCATAGTTTGAACCATGGGGCTTCCACTATTCATAAAGCATCTGAAAGGCTAGATTCAACTGTTCCAAACCTATGAGCATGCCAAATAAATGTCCCATGCGTTTATTCCTGGGTACCTTAATAATGTTATATTTATTTTCTTTTTTTTGCCTTAGTTCCATGTGAAAAGAATGTGTGACATTACTGATCATGTTGTCATTATTATTGCGATTGGGTTTTGAAATAAGTATTTTTTTCTGAGCCGCGCTGAGACGGTTTGCTTCTGAAATGACACTTGTCATCAAGGTCCAAGGTGTGTTCACGTAGTTTCCGCAAAGACACCGGGCATGTTTTCCTTAAAATGTCTTGTATAAACTAGCCAAACCCCGCTAATAGCTTAGTGATTTTCTTTTTTTGTGTTATGTCAACTTGGGATTAGGACTTATGCTATTATTTTTTCCCAACCTAGGTGGAAAATTCCAAACTGTGGGGAAAAATTGGTCAGTGGGAATACAGATGGCACCATGCAGTGTGTAGGATATATTTTGAGGTTTTTTTGAACACACAGCGTTCAGAGATTGGTTACCCAAGGACTGTAATTGATCCTGTGATTTACTGCCTTATGTTATGTGCAGTAGCCAGTACTGTCCCTAGGCCCTGACAGCTTGTAGGCCAGGACAGTTTGCTTTGAAGAGGTCAGCGCAGAGAACAGGCGTGCGTTTCGTCTTGCATTTTGGCTATGAGTTTCTGAGCAAAGTCACGGAAGAGAACATTTCTTTGCATACAGGGTTCTTCTGTAAGGTTCATTCTTGCAAGATGTTGAATTGCTGGTGCAAACGACAGGATCCTCAGCCATGTGAATCCCTTGCTAGACATTTCTCTTCTTTTCTTTCCTCATGTGATATTGAACGAGATGGTAAGATGCCAAATGTTTATGTTTATGGCAGGGTTGAGTAATGGCTGGTCTGGTAAAAAGTTTACTTGAAATGAAGAAAATATATATAACAATTTTTTATGAACTAAAAGGTTAAGGAAACTCAAAACCAAAAAACAAGCAAAAAGAAAAGGAAAACAATTTTTCCAATTCAAAATTGGTAATATCCTTTTTCTGATGTGATCTATTTGATGTCTTTACTAGTTTCTTTTGGCTGTTGCTTTTTAACAGTACAAATCACTTTTTATATAGGCCCTCATTTATGCAGCTGGATATTTTACTGGAGCAGTTCAGGTGAAGCACCTTGATCAGAACTACAATAGAAGTGTCTCGCCTGGGATTTGAACCCACAACCTCCCAGTTGTGAGTTCAGAACCCTGTCCGCTGTGCCACCACTCTGTTGATTTATATACTGGCTTTAAACCGCTGCTTCCTATCCTAGTTTTGATTTTGTACTATGAGGCACTTAACTTAACAATTCTGCAGTTTCTCTACTTTAAATAGCATTACACACGCACAAGAGATGAGGTTCTTGAAATTGGCTGTGCCATATTGTGAAGGCTCATGAGTGACTGATTACCACAACTCAACTGAAGTTTTTAAAATGTTCTTCAGTTGGGAAAACTGTGATTGTGGTGATAGAATCTGGCAAGTATAGCGAGGTCTGACATGTTTAGCAAGCATGCTGGTACTTATTTGTACATGAGCTGTTTCTCTGTCCAATATCAATTTTGACATTGCTTAAAATAAAATGCATAGTTTCAGTGTTGTGAAATCTGAGCACGGATATTAAACGTTCGTAGTCTTTTCACGGAACAATCTTTTTTTAAGAACATGAGCAACAAGTTAGAAGAGGGTCTTCCAGATTATCTAGCTCGTGATAGCTGTCGTTGCTGGACGAGATTTGTGGATCGATGTTTTGAAAGATGTCAGGGTGTCGGCTTCAATAGCACGACTGGGCGGTTTGTTCCACAGCTCCACTGTTTTTGTAAAAGTCCCTCCTTTCTTGGTTACAGATGCATTATGTCGTCATCATCATTGATCATGAAGACATCTCCTGGGTTGACTAAAGCTAATGTTTCTGAAATATGTGAATACTTTTGAAGAATGTTTGTCTCGGGGCCCCTTATAAAACCCTATTCAGAACTAACAGGGATCAGTACCTTCAGTGTGTTGGTGTAGAACATTCTCAGTAGCCCTGGAATGCCTCTGGCTGCCCCCTCTACACTGGGTCAGAGCAGCAGTGTTGTTGGGGCAGTGTGATGACCAGTCATGTTCTCAATATTCTATACAAGGACTTGAATGTGTTTTACAATTTGAACATGGCAAGATGGTGCAGTGGTGGGCATGGCTGTGTCGCAGAACTGGGGCCATGGGTTCAGTTTTGGACCTGGGGTGCTGTCTGCGTGGATTTTGAATGTTCTCTTCACGTCCGCATAGGTTTTGTTTTTGGACTGTGGGACATGCTGGTAGGTTAGTTGGCCCTAGCTGTGGGCGTGCGCTTGTGTCTCTGTGCGTCCTGCGGTAGGCTGGCACCCTGTCTAGGGTCCTGCCTTGTGCCCGTTGCTTGTTGGGGAAGGCTCCAGCTCCCTCAAGGCCCTGAATTAGATGGAGCAGTTAGAAAATGGATGGATGGAACATGGTGTGGATTTATAGTAAAAGTATGCTTTGAACAGTGTGTCCTAACATCTTGTTGGCCGTTTTATTGCTGCCCCACATTCTCATACAGTCATTCGCGGTCTTGGGTCTGGTGTACCCCTGTATCTCTTCTTGGCTCCAGCCAGGCCCTTAATCCCCAGTGCTGTTTGCTGCTTATTGCCAGGAATTGAGCTTTAGGGTTTTTTTTTTTTACGCTTGGGCCTTGATATAAATCATAACCTAGTACAGTGTCTCTGAGTCCCACTGCTGGGTAAACCCCATCTCTTCTGACACTTGTTCTCACTGAGTTGTTAAACACAGGCTAGGTTATTTCAGTTTTCTTTCTGAGGCCTTTTGTATTTGATTTCAGTTCTTAAAAAGCCAAATGGGAATTGTAATTGGTATAAACCCTTTGCTAATTAGTGAGTTTCAGAACTGCCCTCGTTAAGACATTCTAGCTGAAATGTAGCCAGTTGAATATGAGCAGGGGAAAAAAAACATAGTGGGCACATCTGTCTGTCTGTCCTCAGTTGATTACCAATGAAGAGCTGTTTAGTCAGAAATAAGGCAGCAAATTCTTAATTAACCAGTAAAGAAAAGACTGTAGAGTTCTGTGTGCCAAACTTGTAGCAGTGCTGACCACAAGTCCAAAAAATGTCAGGCATATCAATTAAGGTTCCCCATTGACTCTGCTGATTAAGGGCCCGTTTGGGAAAAAAAACAGCAGACAGAGGACCCGGATTAAGACACTGATATAGAAGATGCAAGTGAAGAGACAACATCAACATGTCGGCCTAAGTCGATGTCATCAGCACGATCTTCAAATTCAGTGTTTACACACAAATTTTCTTTTGCTGCTTATGGAGTTCTTGCTAATGTTACCAATTTGGTATTGACTAACAGTCTACTAATTTACAAAGTATGCCAGCATCTATATCATTGATATCGATAAAATAGTGGTTTGGGTACAGAGCCATCTCTGGGCATTCACCCGTTATTGGTATGTTGTCTTTTGTTCATTTCCTTGAAATCCTAGCACTTGCCTCTGGGGAATCCTTTGTGCCTAACTTCATTGAAAGGTTTCTGAAAATCTAAATACACTGTATCAAATGCTCTGAGTGTCCATGACCTTTGCAGTTTCTTTAAAGAACTTTTAACAGTTTGCTTGAGTGGGATCTACGGGTTGTAAATCCTTGTTGATTATTTCGCCACATGGAGAAGATTTGCCATGGACAGGTGCATAAATCATTTAAAAATATTTTGCGGCCTTCTGTCCTAGGTGTCAAGTCTGCATATCAGGTTTTGGTTTTCAATGAAATGAAAGCCATTTTTC